TTCAATTTGTTTTGACAAAGCTGCCAGTGGCTAACAGGACAGAGGCTATAGCTAACGATTCTAGCAATCATTCAAGCAGAGTTTACGCAATAAATTATATTTTTCATTCTGCAACAACCTTTTCCGTTGTCATAAAACCAAAACGTTGCCAAGAGTCGAATAAATTTCGAATACAAATGATCGCACGGAATTAATAGTTTCTATTAATATTACCGCGTGCCGGATCATCACGCATTTGCGTGTAACGTTGTGTAAATTGTAAGTTCATCTGTTTCTGTGAGCACCGTCTAGATGGGACATAATAATTTTAATGGTGGTGAGCTGGTGTCAATTTGAACGGTTTCCAAAACATTCGGAGTTCATCGAGAATAATAAACCCCAAATCTTAGAAGCAATTATCCATTTTATAGGACAATTAAACGGGAATTTCTCTTACAAAAATAATCAGTACGACGCATGTTTACATTATTTTTAAATGCCTTTTAAACGGCTATATGGATGTAAACAAGTCCTGACGATCTTCCGGAGTCACTTGGTCTACCAAGCCGAATGGGGAGAAACAAAAAAAAATCAAATTATTCTAGTCATCGTTTGGCATTCGGGATCTCCTGGTATTTTCTTTACGACTTTAAATATGGCGTACAACCAACAAAATGATTAAATATACATCTTTAAATACTTAATTGGTAATAGCAATTCGAAAATATGTGAAAGCCAAAATGGTCTATTACAATTTCAAGTCTGAAAGCTTCCTAATAAGAAAAGCCTCTACGACAAACAAATGTAGTTTTAGAGAGTAAGGAATATCTTAAAAGAATCAAATTATCCTTAAAATCATCTTTCGACTGTTCAGAGATCTCTTGATATCTTTTACGATCTTAAATGTGACATACATATATACAAGACAAACAGTTTTCCCAAATTCCCGATTGATTGAACGAACTCAAATTGTGTGCGAGGGTAACTTAAACCATTACAAGCAAATATTTCATTTCCTAAACGGCGAAAAGCTTTAGCGTAGTTTATACTTTTGAATACCGGCACCAACATGAACAAAGCGAACATGTCAAAGTCTTTGATGTCAGTGTAATAAGCCTAGGAGGCATTTAAATTTGGAATGTCTCTCCGAGAATAAATGGCGGGACACTTTTGAAGGCATCTGCTCAGGAAGATCGGAAAACCGCAATACATATTGCGATTTCTAACCCGGGTTTATTTTTAGTCGATCCATTCACTTATGGTCTATCACGAAGGAATATCTTTAAGTTTTTAAGGGGGTTAGAATATTTTTGTAATTAGGCGAAAAATATTTTTACAAAAGCATCATATACTAAAGTAGTTATATTTACCCTTACCTTTTTATTAATAGACCAGAAATGCTTTCAATTACAATTTCAATGGAGTCCAAATTTTACTTAAACAACTTTGGCTCAACATACATGTAAGGTTTTTCAAAAAATTTTGTATACACTTGACCTGAAATGAATGAATTCATAACGACAACTACCATTTATGGATCGACTATTGATTGAATCTGAAGAGATCAAGAAAAAAATCTATAATGTACTTCATGGTTTACTCAAAACAGCTAAATATTCACATTGGCCCCTTCTGATCCAATCCACAGAATTACTACTTCATTGTTGTCGATCACGATGTGACGATCTATACCTTAATAACTGTAAAAGGAACAAACAAAAATCTAGTGCGTGTGATACGATACGGCAACAAGACAATAACCGAAAAAGAGGAAATTAGTTGTCATGGTGGTTACAGGGACGAAGGGTTGTACACGTGTCTCGCAGCTTTTTAGACTGCCACACATTGTCGAGCTTGAACTATAAAGAACTTCAAGTTTCCGGTTTTTCAAATAATCTAAATAAATTACACTAACGGCACCTCACCAAAGACCTTTTGTATCATGCGTCACGAAAAGGACTTTTTTACAATAAAAGGAAATGCATTACAAATAAAAAGTATTAGATGCCTAGAATAAAATTATGAATTAACTTAAGTATAAAAACCGACTTCAACGCTTTGTCTATATAGGAACACATAACTAAATAAAAAGGTAAAAACGGGAATCATCCCCTATTTTCCAACCTTAGAGGTGATATATTTTCTTCAAATTTAAATAGTACCACCCTTGAGATATATTCTATCCAATAAAACAAAGATCATTAAAATCGTTTCACAATTGGCGAAGAAAATGCACAATATAAGGTACCTATTCACAAAAAAAGAAAGACAGTCGAATTCAAAACTTCCCCTTTTTTGAAGTCGTTGAATAGATTTAAAATTATACCTTTGTTAGTGTAGGGTGTCGAAAAACAAATAGAAAATAGCTGCCATATAGATCATACACCTATTTATAACAGATGCATATATGCGTTCAGCTCAAACTTGAACTGTTGCAAATTATCAAAAGTACATAAGGTATATCTAACGCTTAGGTACTTTTTCTTGGGAGTGTTACTATTTTTTGACTTACCAAATTCAAAAGTATCATAAGTCAGAGAAAATCTTCCCTAAAGGCAAGTCTATACAAGTTCATAATGTCCACCGCGAACGTCGACCGAAACCACTACGTACGAATCACTTTTATTTCTAACCCGATTTTAATTCTAATCAAATTACTTATAAATTAATCTAATATATTACTTTTCAAGTTAACACTGATTGAACACACATTTTACTAAACAATTTACTATACACTAATCACAACACATTATTACTAAAGAAACGAAATTAAGAGAAATTAATTCGCTTTACCGTAAATGGGCATAATATTCACGAACGGACCGAAATTGTACAATGTTGCGCAAAGCTACAGTCTACAGTCTACAGCATTTGCTCTTCGTTCATTATCGTACTTGACCGATCTCTTATCTCTATTACGAAGACGCCGCATTCCTTTAGTCCTTGCATGTTTTTCAATAACACCTTCTAATTTTGCTGTATTAGACACTAAAAGAATGCAGAAATATTACAAAGCGACCGGCGGTTTGTTCCATTATAGAAACAGAGGGAAGTAAGGTTATAAGTAATAACGAGATGAATGATTATCTATAGATTAATAGCAAATATGAAGGATTTAATAAATTTCAATAGTTTGATGACAATATACACATATATTATATTATGTATATAAAAATTTTGTGCATTTGTATAAAATAAAAAAAAATCTATTTTTTCAACCAATAATAAAATAATAAAAGTAGCATGAGTTCAATTAAATATTTTACATATTAAGTTAATTGCTGAAAGCAAACCACTCTGAATTCGTTCAGATATTAAATAATATTAAATAATTTATTTGTTAACAATCTCTTCAATGTTTCGTTCTCAAGTTAAGGTAATTGAAAAGTTAATTAAAGNTTTTTCGTGACTGGTATTAACTCGATTTGTAAAAAATTTTATTATAAAATAATTATTATTACGCCTAAATTAAACCAAAATTTACAAATCGAGTTAATACTACCTAGTCATAAAAAACATTAGTTAGGTCTTCAAATTAAGAAAGTAAAGTATGTGTAATATTTCTGCTTTAGTTAACATTTGGAATATCTTTGAGGAAGTCCCTAACTTGTGGACGAAATGTTGCCGAGATTGTTAACAAATATATAATGTAATACTTCCAATGACTCCAGAATGGTTGGCTTTTAATAATAATTACTTCAGGGAGAAATATATTAAACATACTAAATTAATTGGTATGCAATGGAGAATAGAAATAAAAGACGCATTTGATCTCTAACAATTGTTTCGGCTATTATTAAGCGATCATCAAGGAATACCAACACGAATGATACTCTTTGATCATGGTTTACTAGCCGAAAGAATTGTTAGAGATCGAATAATATAACAATATGTAAATGAACGGTTTTAGTCCTAAATTAATAAGTATATAAGCATTGCTATTGAAAAAAACGTGAACATACTTAGGTAGTGTTCGAGTAAAACATATTTGAAACTCTTTTAAAACCTTGTGTATTTATTTAATTAATTTAAAAATTGATGTTTCATATTTTCCTCCACAAGTTTTACTGAAAGTAATAGGTAAATAATACTCTATTAAAATTCTCTAACTGATGCGTTAGATTATGGAATTGTAGAATTTTGGGATTTAATGGTTCATTTGGTTTAAGCCTCAGAGAACTCCATTTCATTTTATTGAATTATGACTATTTCAATAAATAATTTTCAGTTAGGTAATTGTAGGTATTTAATATAATAAATTTCATTTCCATGAGAGCTTGCAGGAGCATGAGAATTATTACCTGAGCTTTCACGACCGAAATCCATAGTAAGATCAAGATTCGATCTGATCGATGGATCGAAAAAGAACGATTGGACATGTCAGCCTTAGTAACAGACGAAACGTATGAATTTCGTAGTTTATTTCGACTAAGGACCATCAATCTCAATCATAATTTTAAATTAACACAAATAGAGGCGAAACGTCGGTGTTGGTTCTTCAAAAATAAAAACCTTCCAACCCTTAATTGCCTTGAACTTTATTTAATATGCCAAATTATTTTTCCACCGTTCTTTCCATTTCTAATTTTTCTGTGTTCTTAATATCTAAGTGAATTTTTCTAATAATTAGATATTAACATTTTAAACTATCAAAATTATTTGTTGGTATTTTTTAACTTATTATGTAGTACACTATAATTATAACGGAGGTCCTTCTTTCCTAAATGTGCGTGATCCACAAACAATTGTATTTTCAAAAAGCTCCTTTTCCTCCTTCGGGCATTTTTACAATTAGTTTCACAATAGCTATAAAGACCACAAAATACGTAAGGAGAGATCTTAAAGCAATCACTTCCAACGAATGAGAATACACTTGGAAACCGTGGCTCCTCCTTCGTTCGCGGGACTCTTACACGAAACAAGGAAGGATATGGATAACAAACGAACGGACGAAACAAGGATGGCGCTAATCATTGCACCCACACACCATTAAGTGTACTACCAAGGGAACACTCTGATATTCAACATCAGTCTTTTACAACCACTCAAAATACGAGCAAGTTAAAACAAATTTCGGTTTTCCGCGATTGACGAAAAGCGCTCAAAATTAATTAATTAATTAGAATCGATTAGATATCAAGTTCGTGCAACAGTGATCAAAATACGAGTTACCGCATATTATAAAGACAAACACATATATATTGAAAGTGTTATCTAAGTTGATTATATGTTAAATTAGAAGATGGAAGACGAAGTATCTCCGGTAGTCGCGGAAAAACCCTGCACAACCCCCGTTACGCCATTTTCCATCGAAAATATACTTAATACCAAAATATGTAATCGGAACAACGAAGATTGCACGGACATCCAGGAAAAAGCTTTGGATATGACCAAAAGTGGACAACAAACTTCTGACAATGGTAATTCACGACTGATTTTCCTTTAAAATATTTCACTTAAGTATTTGGCTAACATTTTATAATATATCTGTTAAGCTTACAAATTATCTCGAAAAAGCTCTACCTAAGGAAAATTCTAAACTACAAAATTTTTCCAAATTGTGAGCGACTTTTTTGCATTTTTAAGTACTTATCTAACATCTAACAGCACCCTTCTTCTGTTATACAACCCCTCGCCCATGCTTAATGGTCTAAAGACCAAAAAAGAATAGTACCTATCCAAATATTGGTTTTCTTTGGTTCCCCCATTTTCAATCAATTAATCAATCAACCAGCAATCCAAAAATATTAAATGTCCTTTGGCGTCATCAATTTCCTAAAAGAACTCCCACTATGCGATTACAAAAGCGAAACATTTTCATACGAAAAAATCCCGAGCCCTTTCTGACACCACGAAGAAGTGTGTCTTGTCGCGATGGTACACGCTGGTACCGCCACCTCTCTCAAGGGCTTTTACGTTAAAAGCTATTTGTACTTTGTCGCCAATGTATTACTTAATTTTAGTAATTGCTACCTGAATAATCGCTTTAAATAGATATAATAACAGTTTGGAAAAATGATAAATGGAACTATCCGCCCTTTTTTTGCGTGACACAATTATTTATGTACATGGATACATTAAGGTAAAAATATTTTAAAACACGATATAGCAACCTTTGAATCCCTAAATAAATTGAAAAGAGCTACAGATTTTTTCCAATGAAGATTTTGGTTTCTGTTACAGTATCGTGTTCAGGATTTCCTGGAGTTTCTGGAGAATACAGTCGTCCATCGTGCCAGTCTGACGAAGGGGCAAGAGGGGATTCAGTAACACATACGGGAAGAAAGAAGAGATCCAGGGCTGCTTTTACCCATGCACAAGTCTTTGAATTGGAAAGAAGATTCAGTCAACAGCGGTACCTGAGTGGACCAGAAAGAGCCGACTTAGCTCATGCATTGAAACTGACCGAAACACAAGTCAAAATTTGGTACCAAAATCGAAGGTAACAGTGCCTACATGCTACATTATTTTCTTTCTGAACTATTTTGGAAATATCTTTCTCTATTTCTTATGTTTTTTTGGGCAGATATAAAACCAAACGGAAGCAACTCCAAATGCAAGAGCAAAACATGATGAACCAAAATGCCAGAAAAGTAGCAGTCAAAGTTCTGGTAAAGGACGATATTCCGCTGTTTATGCAACAAAAATCAATGTACAAAACGCCGGTGGTCTACAACGAACCATGCAAAAACGATCTCTTCCTCTACGACCAGTTCAACAAGAACATTGTCCACAAATATAATTCGAAAACTCTACAAGAATCTATGCTCAGTTTGTGTCAGCAGTACAACAATTCTCTTCAGTTGTTACCCTACTTTAGTTACTATCATCCCTCCGCCCTTATGGGACTTCATGGTCAGGAAGAAGACATGGGAATGGAGCAAAGTAGAGAACAATCTTAGTTTTAGACGCGAAAATGAAAATTTGGGGAGCCGATTATAGCGAAGAAACGCAATGGAGAGTTGCCGTAGAAAACATTAGTACAAAAAGCAATAAATACATACCTATACTTGTTGTAGTGGAACAATAAGATCCATGAATCTTTAGATTCTGTATAGTCAGTCCTTAATAGATAAATGGAAACTGGACCTCTCCCGATACCAAAAATATACCAAAGTTGACAATTAACTTCACTTTATGTACTGTAAATTACTGTAAATATTTATTTTTTAGTAAATACATGGTTTATGTTATAGACGTTATCTCAATAAACTCCTTCTAATACACGTTCCAACTGTATTGAAATCAAATAAAATTTTACGACTTTAGTGATTTGAGACATTAAATTTTATGAACTATCTATATCCCTGAATAAATAATCGCATCAAAATGAGCGCAGACCCGTACACCTAGCACAATTAAAAAGAATTTATAATTCCGCGCATTTGATTTGGTTTTTACTGAAAGCTCCTAGCTCTTCTAGTTTTAACGACGGGGTACCTGAAACACTTTGCATTTGCAGTTGGTAGTTGGTTATGAGTAAAAAAACGAATGTTTATAATGAGGACTTAAGTTTCAAAACACTTTTCCGAAAGAGTCAAGTGTTCTACACTTGAGACACATGGCAAGCTCTTACAATTTGAGTATAAACAATATGAAATTACTAATATATACAATTGCGATGCATCAGTCAAGCATTATGTTCCGCTTTTAAATATATATTATGCCACCCTTGAATCGGCGCGTCTGGAGAATTTAAAATGCTACCGATTCATGTTACACAAACGTGCACGATATACGAGGTCTAGTAAACAAATAAACCAACCAAAAAAACAACCATTTCCGTTACATCAACATCGTTATGGTTTCATTTTTTTATATATCTAATAGATTTGAACTTTAAACCAATCGCTTACGATAATTCTTATTGTAAATGCACATTATCATCATCATAAGGTCGTCAGTCCTAAGACTGGTTGGACACGCATCTCCACTCTTTCCTATCTTGAACTTATTATCCCAAATCCTTGAAGAGCAATCTAATCTAGGTCTACCTCTACTCCTCTTAATATTCCTGTTTCTGCCTCTAATATGCTTGACTAGACTTTAATTACTGAGAATATATCCTACCAACCTATCTCGCCTATTTCTTATTGACTTCCATAGAGTCCTATATTCGCCTATTCTTTTTAATATCTCTTCATTTCTAACCTTCTCTATCCACGGTATCCTTATCATTCCCAGGTAACACCACATTTCGAACACACATCAAGAAAATAAAAATTTACCTTAAAAATTTCCTTTATGAATTTATCATAAAATATTCTAACGCGTCCTAGTATACTCAAACAAGTTTCGAGTTTCTTATTTATTTGTTCATCGACTAGAGGACTTGCTTCGGTAGTCAACGTATTTGCTCATTACAAATGAAGCTTCTTCTTCAACTTGTGAAAAGTTAATGGAGAGCAATTTTCTGCATTCACATTCAAATTATGTCGTTTGAAACTCTTCAAGTAATTTTGTACCCATTTGTACAAGCTCATTGTTCAGAAAAGCTGCTCGAAAAGATAGACGGTTTTTTTTTTGTTTTAAAATACCTTCATTCATAAATACATATGTATGTAAATATATTACTATTTATAAAAGCAATTATAAATATTGATCATAGTACAAACACGGAAGTTTGAGACAAATTAGACATCCTCCTAATTAATTTATAAAGAATTTAATAAAGAAGATCTAATACTAATGAACTTGTGTATTTCCATTTTATAGATGAACATAAATCTCTTTTTTCTATCCCATTCCCTATTGTTTGGGTTAACATCAATTAAACCTTCCAAATTGCTTCATTTGTCCCTATTGTAAACCTTTTAATTTATTTTGCTGAAATTTTATACCATATAACGATCATGTTCTGCGGATGTAGTTTGTTCATTTTCCATTAGGAACAAAGGTATAATTTGTATGTAGCGCGAAGTAGTTCTGAAAACCGACCCAACTACCATCAATTTCAATTGTTCAGACCCATTCCGAGTGAACAAGTTGCAACAAAACTTAACGAGTATGAGAGTCGGTTCGGCGACAGACTAGCGGCTCACTTCGTCTGTAAAATCGTAATTATTTCATTTGAATTGCAAACCACAACACTCAGTATCTTTTCGTTCCAATCAATTCTATTATTCGGAATTACAAGCGACCAGAGTGAATTTAAAGTTGCCAAAAGTGATGTAAAAGGATCAAACTTTCACAGTCCAACAGTTTCGGGGGGAGATATAGCGCATATACGTATGCAGGCAATGATGTCCCCAACTACTCAACAATGAAGAACATATTTAATCGATCAGCACTTGATGATCATACAAGGACATGTCGAGAACAATGTTGAACTCTTGATAAAATTTATGAAGCGACCGAAAAAAAATAACGTTCTGCTCATAGAATGAATTGAGTTGGTAAATACGTTTATAAACGGTTCTATTAAAAAAGGAAACTATTAATGTTTTGTTTACTAGGTGTTTGAATACTAGGCACTTCTACGGTAGGGCCATTTCAAAATTGATATTAAAAATAAATTAAAATAAATATAGGAATCAACGATTTTCCTGCTAGAATTACGATTCGGATTAAAGGATCATGGTCCAGATGTTTCGTCGCAAAGTGCGACTGACATCTTCAGCGGTATTGCCTTGACAATATGTGTGAGAGATTTAAATTTCGGCAGTCACTGTATAACCTTTTCACCTAATCCTTCCTTTTTAGAAGGTGTCCTACCATCCTACCTCATGCTTTTCTTGTCGACTAAAGCTCTCTTTATTCTCCTACTGTCTCTAATGCCTCCTTATTTCTACCGAGCTCAGAAGTAATTCCTTTTCAGGTTTGGATCCAGAAGCAACTTCTCAATGTAGTTTCTGGAATGAGCTTTTTCCCATTTTTCAAAATTCAGTGGCTATTCCAAGTACGAATTCGAATCACTCAAGTTTAGTGTCATTCTTATATGTTTCATTTCGTTAAAAATGACCTTATCTTTATTTTTAGTTTGTTTATATTCAGTGGCAAATCCAATCCGATTTTTTTCAGTCAAAAATTTTAAAACTACTAGGTAAACATAGAGCTTTTGGGAGAGACATTTCCACCATTTCCTTCTTTTGGATCTGGTACTGTTTCTTTTTATTAAAAGCGACTCGATCCTGTCCTATCCTTTGTTTCACGTATCTATCGCTTCTTCCGTCCTGAGTTATCTAACTTCCAAGACTTCGAAAATCGGCGGGTTCTTCTAGTTTTTGTATTGCCTTTTTATATTTATGATTATCTCACTTTCTACAGATATAGAAGATCGGCGAGTCTTCCTAGTTTTTGTATCACCTTTTTGTATTTACGATTATCTGACTTCCTAGACATTCAAAATCGGCGGGTTCTCCTAGTTTTTGTATCGTCTTTTTATACTTATGATTATCTGATATCCTAAACATCGAAAATCGACGAGTTCTTTTAGTTTTTCGTATCTATCGATTTTTTAATATGTTTATGATTATCAACCGATTTAAATATTGCAACAGCGTACGAGATTTTCCTGTTCGTTTGTCCGAATTGTTTCCGTGTTGATAAACAAGCCCTAAATCGAAGATGCTATTAATGTAAATCGACTACTTGGTTTCGAATCGGTCCAACAAACATTACGCGCATCAGGCATCGATGTGTGGAGGCACTTACGTCAGTAGGTGTTGTTAATCGGTCGCTGAATATTATTTAATGCTCTTATCTATGACGGGCAAGAGCCACCGTGGAGCATTTAGGAGGCTCTTCAGTCGCGAGCTGCGTGCTCTAGCTGTACCACTTAAGCTTCTAAAATAGTCGTATTATAAACATATCTTCTTAAGTAGGTGCACTTGAACGAAGTGGGTAGTTCTTGCACATGGTTATTATAATTCATAACATTCTGACGTGAGTTTACTAGCACTCGGTGTACACAATCACCTCGACGACGCCTTAAAGTAAATTTCATTCCTACCTACATAAACATACTGTAAATATTATTGAATCGTTAATTTTTACACGCAGGTGTAGATCGAGTCGCTTCTTATATCTACACGTTACCTATTATAAACTACTTACAGGTGAACAACCAAACTTGTACTGTACAAATAACCGAGGAATAATGAATCTGATTTAAGAGATGCTACTTGTATTACTACCGAGTTCTCTTATAAACATTGAACTATTATGAATCAATAAGTGGCAGCTATTAAAAAGTTATGGGGGTTCAAAGTTAATAAATACGCCAATTTTTATACATTTCTAGGCATGTAAATATTTATATAGTCATTCTTAAACAATATTCAAAGGTAAAACTAATACATAAAAATATTGAGAAAGGTTATCGGGTTTTGTTCAAGTGACCACCCTCTTTCGATCCCCCACCTCCACCCGCTTGATTATAGTGTATGAAAATTGACAAAATAATCAACTTTCAACCCCCATAACTTTTTATGGGGGTGAGACCGCCGCAAATTTTTTAAGGGATTTTACACAAATGACCACCCTCTTTCGATTCCCCCCACCCCCATCCCCCAAGGGGTGTAGGGGCCATCATCTAACCCCCATAACGTTTTATGGGGGTGAGACCGCCACGAACTTTTTATGGTACAGTGGTGGGGGAGACCTCCTCTTTCGATCCCACCCACCCCCACTTCCTCCGAAGGAAGTGGGGGCCATCATCTAGACATTTACCGAATATTCTTCTTTTGGCTATATTCTTATATAGTACGATAATTACTTTCCCTAATTTACAACAATTGGGAATGAATTACAAGTGTTCCATATTTTGCCTTAGAATATATGATACCCTCTCCCCATGCTGAGCTTTTACCATATTTTAGGGAAATCTTCTTATTACTTTAGTGGTCTCTACCGATGATGTAAAAGAATTCTTCAAGCTTTGGATGTTTGTGGAGCAACATTAGATGAGATTTTTCCCTTCAATATTTAATGTTGCATATTAACCTCTTCAAGAATATTTTTGTATATATATTGTTCTGTTTTTATTAAAGTGAATCGCCATAATTCCTGCTGGTAGGTCCAATTCTTTCCTAATATAGACTTGCTATTAGTTCTTCATCCTCTCGCCTATCAAGTACTTTAATTTTTAAGATTCTACAGTGTCACACGCAATTCTTCAACACCACGTAATTCCGATTCATTGTAAATCTATTTCCAATTGAAGACATGATT